ACATAGAAAAAAAATCCTCAACAAAATACTAGCTAATTGAATCCAACAACACATCAGAAAGATCATTCACCCACATCATGTGGGATTTATCCCTGGTATGCAGGGATGGTTCAACAGTCACCAATCAATAAATGTGATACATCACATGAACAAAACTTAAGAACAAAAACCATGATTATCTCAATAGATGTAGAGAAAGCATTTGGTAAAATACAACATCCTTTCATGATGAGAATCTTAAGTAAACTGGGCATAGAAAGAACATTCCTTAACCAATCAAGACTATTTATGATGGACCCACAGCCAGCATCTTATTGAATGGGGAAAAGTTGGAAACATTCTCACTAAGATCTGGAATCAGACAAAGATACCCACTTTCACCACTACTATTCAATATACTCCTGGAAGTATATTTTAGCCAGGGCCATTAGGCAAGAAAAAGAAATCAAGGGGATACAAATTGGGAAGGAGGAAGTCAAACTATCCCTATTTGCAAATGACATGATTCTATATATAGGGGATCCAAGACTCCACCAAGAGACTATTGGAACTCATAAAAGTGTTTCGTAAAGTGGCAGGATATAAAATTAACACACAAAAATCAACAGCCTTTGTATACACAGACGATGCCACTGCTGAGAAAGAACCAGGATCAATCCCATTCCCAAGAGCTACAAAAAAATAAATACCTTGGAATAAATTTAGCAAAGGATGTCAGATTTCCATGATGAAAACTACAAGACATTAAAGAAAGAAATAGAAGATGCAAAACAATGGAAATGACCATGTTCATGGATTGGAAGAATGTATATCATCAAAATGTCAACACTATCAAAAGCAGTTTAAAGATTCAATGTTATCCCAATCAAAATACCAAGGCCATTCTTCTCAGATCTAGAAAAATCAATGCTAAAATTCATATGAAAACACAAAGACCCCAAATAGCTAAAGAAATCTTATACAAAACAAAACAAAACAAAACAAAAAAACCCAGAGGCATCACACCACCAGATTTCAAGGCAGGGCAGTTATCATCTAAACAGCCTGGTTCTATAAAAAACAAACAGAACAGACATGTAGAGCAATGCAACAGAATAGAAACTCCAAAAAGCAATCCATGCATCAACAACCAACTTCTCTTTGACAAAGGTGATCAAATCAACCCCTGGAGCAAGGATGATCTGTTCAACAATGGTGCTGGGAAAACTGGATCTCTGCGTGCAGAAGCACGAAACAAGACCCCTACCTTCCACCTTTCAAAAACATCCATTCAAAATGAATCGAAGGCCTAGAATTGTGACCCAATACCATCAAATTACTAGAAAACATTGGGGAAACCCTATAAGACATTGGCATAGGCAAAGAGTTCTTGGGGAAAACCCAGAAGCACAGGCAATCAAAACCACAAAATTCACAAATGGGTTTACATCAAGCTCAGAAGCTTCTGCACTGCAAAAGAAACACTCAGCAAAGTGATGAGGCAACTGACAGAATGGGAGAAAATATTTGTAAACTATACAACTGATAAGAATTAATATCCAGAATCTATAAGCTCAAGAATCTCAACAACAAAACAATCCAGTTAAGAAATGGCACTTTAATGTTTTTTTTTTTTTTTTAAACAAAGATTTAGTTATTTACTTGAAAGTCAGAATTACAAGGAGAGAAAAGGAGAGGCAAAGAGAGAGAGAGAGGTCTTCCATGCGCTGGTTCACTCCCCAGATGGCCACAATGGCCAGAGCTGTGCTGATCTGAAGCCAGGAGCCAGGAGCTTCTTCCAGGTCTCCCTTGTGGGTGTAGGTGCCCAAGGACTTGGGCCATATTCTACTGCTTTCCGAGGCCACAGCAGAGAACTGGATTGGAAGTGGAGTAGCCAGGACTTGAACCAGCACCCATATGGGATGCCAGCACTGCAGGTGATGGCTTTACCCATTACACCACAGCGTTGGCTCCAGAAATGGCACTTTTCAAGAGAGGAAATTCAAATGACCAGCACATATGAAAAAATACTCAGGAGCACTAGCCATCAGAGAAATGCAAATCAAAACCACAATGAGGTTCCACCTCACCCGTTAGAATGGCTCTCATATAAAAAATGGCCAGCACAGCGGCTCAATAGGCTAATCCTCCACCTAGCGGCGCCGGCACACCAGGTTCTAGTCCCTGTTGCCCCTCTTCCAGGCCAGCTCTCTGCTGTGGCCCAGGAAGGCAGTGGAGGATGGCCCAAGTGCTTGGGCCCTGCACCCCATGGGAGACCAGGAGAAGCACCTGGCTCCTGCCTTCAGATCAGCGCGGTGTGCCGGCTGCAGAGCGCCAACCGTGGCGGCCATTGGAGGGTGAACCAACAGCAAAAGGAAGACCTTTCTCTCTGTCTCTCTCTCACTATCCACTCTGCCTGTCAAAAAAAAAAAAAAAAAAAAAAAAAAAAAGAATGGCTCTCATATAAAAATCAACAAATAACAAATGCTGGCGAGGATGTTGGGGAAAAGGTACTGTAACCCACTGTTGGTGGGAATGTAAATTGGTGCAGCCACTGTGAAAGACTGTATGGAGATACCTTAGAAATATCAATATAGACCTACCATATGACCCAGCCATCCCACTCCTGGGAATTTACCCAAATGAAATCAGCATATGAAAATGATCTGTAACCCCATGCTTACTGTAGCTCATTTCAAAATAGCTAAGATATGGAATCAACCCAGATGTCCATGAACTGAAGACCAGATAAAGAAGTTATGGTATACATACACTATAGAATACAACACAGTAGTAAAAGAAAAAATGAAATCCCATCATTTGCAACAAAATGGATGCAACTGGAAACCATTATATTTAGTGATACAAGTGACTTCCAAAAAGACAAATACCATACATTCTCCATAATATGCAGTAATAGAATACCTAAAAGGTAATCTATAGGAATGAAATTGGCAGAGATGTGATGATTTTTAATAGCTCTTATCTCAACTATGGAGGAAGTGTTTTTTTTTTTCTTCATACTATTTATTGAACTCTTTACTTGGTGTAGGGTTAATGTCATTAGTATAAAGTTAACTGAGGGGCTGGCGCTGTGGCATAGCTGGTAAAGCCACCATCTGCAGTGCCGGCATCCCATATGGGCACCAGTTGTAGTCCTGGATGTTCCACTTCCAATCCAGCTCTCTGCTATGGCCTGGGAAAGCAGCAGAGGATGGTTCAAGTCCTTGGGCCCCTGCACCCACGTGGGAGACCTGAAGGAAGCTCCTGGTTCCTGGCTTTGGATCGGAACAGATCTAGCCATTGCAGTCAATTGGGAAGTGAACCAGCGGATGGAAGACCTCTCTCTCTCTGCTTCTCCTTCTCTCTGTGTAACTCTTTCAAATAAATAATAAATCTTTAAAAAATAGTTAACTGAAAATAGATCTTTGTAAAAAATAAGAATGGGAATAGGAGAGGGAGGAGGAACAAAGGTGGGAGAGCGGGTGGGAGGGAGACTATCATGGAAGAATCACTATGTTCCTAAATTTGTATGAAATGCATGGTTTGTGTACCTTAAACAAATTTTTAAAAAAACGACAATATCATTTTCATAAAAATGACAATATCAATTTCATAAAAATGAAAAAAGAGGATACTGAGCAGTGAGGTATGTACTCCTGATTTTAGAACTGATTTCAGAGAAAAGATGGGACTAAGCCCATGGACAGAGAAGCCAGAGTTGATGATGATGAAGGAAGCTTTTTAGGAAAATGTAATTTTGACATAATCAAGTTAAATCATAAGAAAACAGAGGCATCTAAATAATTATGCTCTGCATTTTCCTATGGTTACTCAGAAGAATCCTGAAGGGATATTTTCCCTTTTGAAAATTCAGTTTTATTCTAATGTAAAAGGAGCTTGATAAGCTCAGATCTTCAAGGGATATGGCTTATCATAAAATGGGAGGTCACAGCAGTCTTACACTATGGAACAGTCTCAGGGGGGGAGGCCACACCTAAGCCAGTCCTGTGGAGAGCATGGCTGCTTTTCTGAGTGCAGGATAAGCAAGCAGAACCTCTCAGGTTGTCAAGTGCTGAAGTTTCAGTGAAGGAAAAAGACTACTGACATTGGACATCTACTGGGAAGGCCAGGAAGAAATGGTCAGGAGACAGAGCCACACACAGTAAGAGCTCACCCACCTAGTGTGTTACATCAGGGAGCCAAGGATTCTGCTGTTAGCTCCTGTACTTCCTAGATGTGTGACATTTTTATAATTAAAATAGGAAACATTTAAAAGTAGTTAAACCAAGAAAAAAAGACCCACCAACTTACATGCATGGAGACTAACTTAAAAGGGGAGATGACCGTCTGGGGGCCCTGAACACCCTACACTTTCAAGAACACACTCAGTTCTGAGTTCTGAGTGAGAAGGAAGGGATACCCGGCAGGGGACATTTCACCCCAAGGCCACCACAGAGAGAGGCACTCCTACACCTCCCCTAGTACACTAACACCTTACAGTCATGAGGTCAAGTTCTCATAGGTGAAAGACCCCTACCTACTTCAAATAAAACAGTGCTCACATTAAGGGAAAAAAGGCTCTGTGCACATTCTAATGGCTCTTGTTGGTCTCCAGGCCTCTTCCAGCAGTATGAGGGGAAGGGAACCCTATGTGGGTGCCTTCTATGGTCCAGGTACTTACACCTTTCACCTCAAGTCACCTGAGCAAATCCCAGAACAGTAGGGTTGACAGGGTTAAGGCATCTGCACAGGAACACACACACATGCTAGAAAGGTGAGGGGAGAACCCAGGTCCACCGACTTTGGAGCACGCAGCTTTTCCACTACTCAGCATGCTCTCAATCCACTGTGTGTGTGTGTGTGTGGGCGGGGGGAGGACAGGAGATAGACTCCCCCAGTCATACAGTGTATACAACCTTCCAGTGATAACTGAACAATGTTTTATCATCCAGTTCACACAGTTTATTTCTCCTCAAGTCAGTTTTCCCAGTATGTGGAGGGAAGCTGCTTCAGACATATTTTCATTAGTTTTAATTTTTATTGTGCAGGCTTTATATAGTTATCCAGTATTTTAAAAAGCACAAAATATTGAAATCTGTTTTTATTAACATAGTGTGAAATTTTCAGTAAGAAATTCTCATCACAAAGGTGTTGAAGTACAGCAGAACTACTGTCCCTGACCGACAATCAGTGGGACAACTAGAACATGCCCTGTGGCGTGCTGTTCTACCTGTCTGAACTCGCTTCTGTGAGCCAGCACCCTTCCCTGTCTGTTCTGAACGGACCCTGGAAGTCCTGTGAGACCACTTGCACCATTCACCATGCCTCCAGAAACTGCAGGCTTGCAGGGTTTCTTTTAATTCTCTTGAAATCTATTATCCTCAATGACAATAGTTCTTCCAGGATAAGATCCAACTTCTACAAATATATATCGAAAATCACACTCGCCAGTCTTTGGGTTCTGAAAAAAACAAAAACAAAAAACACCAAGTATTTCCAGGTGCTGCTTTCTTTTCTGGGCTCAGAACCATCTCCCCCGTCCTCCAACCCCTGGTTTGCACCTCTTTCACTTCCACGTGCACTGTTCCTTGCTTCCCTGGCTCGGAGCCCTCGATGTAGAATTTCACACGCATGTATTTCAGCCCATCTTTTACATATTCAATAAAACTGTCAAGAAAAGTAAGTACAGAAGTCTAATTTCCTTTCATTTAAAAATTATTCCTAAGCTTCCTGAATTCAGCAGACTGGGGTACCTGACATGCTGCCTTCGGCCACGTCTCGTCATCTCACCATAGCCTTTGACAGGCTCACCAAAGACACCGATCACCTGCCAAACAAAGACGATACTTCATTTAGTGTCCTAGGAAAGTATGTTCTGACAAACTTAGTGATTTATTTGGGTAAAAAAAAAAATCAGTGAAGTAGGATCCTTTAAAAAGTGACCACTCCAATGATGAGAATACTGAAAAAGTAAGTTACTGTGTAACAACCATCTAGTGACAACTGCTTCATGCAGAGTGCCACAGGCAGTGATACAGTGTTACTTTAGTTCTTTTTATTATTATTATTTTTTGACAGGCAGAGTGGACAGTGAGAGAGAGAGAGAGAGAGAGAGAGAAAGGTCTTCCTTTGCTGTTGGTTCACCCTCCAATGGCTGCCGCGGCTGGCGCGCTGCGGCCGGCGCACTGCACTGATCCGATGGCAGGAGCCAGGAGCCAGGTGCTTTTCCTGGTCTCCCATGGGGTGCAGGGCCCAAGCACCTGGGCCATCCTCCACTGCACTCCCTGGCCACAGCAGAGAGCTGGCCTGGAAGAGGGGCAACCGGGACAGAATCCAGTGCCCCAACCGGGACTAGAACCTGGTGTGCCGGCGCTGCTAGGCGGAGGATTAGCCTAGAACAATGTAGGTTGGAGTGAAGTTGTTCTTATTTCCTGGGACAAAAAATGAACACATGTATTTCTCTACCAAAATCTTATGGTTTAAATATAAAGTACAGGCCGGCCCCATGGCTCAAAAGGCTAATCCTCCGCCTGCAGCACCGGCATACCAGGTTCTAGTCCTGGTCGGGGTTCCGGATTCTGTCCCGGTTGCTCCTCTTCCAGTCCAGCTCTCTGCTGTGGCCAGGGAGTGCAGTGGAGGATGTCCCAAGTGCTTGGGCCCTGCACCCCATGGGAGACCAGGAGAAGCACCTGGCTCCTGGTTTCAGATCAACATTATGCGCTGGCCGCAGGGCGCTGGCCGCAGTGGCCATTGAGGGGTGAACCAACGGAAAAAGGAAGACCTTTCTCTCTGTCTCTCTCTCTCACTGTCCACTCTGCCTGTCAAAAAAAATATATATATATATACATATATATATATAAAAAGTACACTAACATTTTAAAGCAGAATTTATTAATGGGGTCTAATACTAAAAACTATGAGATCAAAAGGACTTTTTTCCCTATTGTATTTGTTTGAAAGAACTACACAGAGGGAGGGAGAGACGAGAGATAAATCTTCCATCTGCTAGCTCACTCTCCAGATAGTTCCAATGGCCAGGGCTGGTCCAGGCCGAAGCCAGGAGCCAGGAGCTTCCTCCGGGTCTCCCACATGGTTAGCAGGGGACCAAGCACCTGGCCCAACGTTTGCTGCTTTTCTTAGGCCATCAGCAGGGAGCTGGACTGGAAGTGCAGCAGCTAAGACTCAAGCTGGTGCAGAGCCTATGTGGATGCTGGTACTGCAGGTGGAGACTTTACCTGCTAGGCCAAGCACCACCCCTAAATGACTTGTGAAGTCACTACACACAGGGAGGAAAAGAAAAACCCTCAGTAGAAACAACATATTTAAAATAATTCAGATTTACAGGTGTGAGCCAATTTTTCACACTGGGAAAATTCACACACAGTGGAAACATAAATTTTTGTTAAGTTAAAATGCAAATACTTTGGTACTCTCTCTTTAAAAAAAAAAAAAACAAATTTGATGTCACACAAAAAGCTTGGCTGTTGACTTTGTAACATTTTTCTTATTTCATCTGTGTCTTCAGTGTCAGATTTTCCAGGTATACAAAGAAACAATATGGAAGATGACAGATAAATTTAATTCTATACAGCTGAGACAACTGTAACAACTGTCATAATAACTTACCTGGGCAGATTAAACACATCAGCATCTCAATGTTAGAACTTTCTGTTGTTTTAGGCAGGCAAGGTGCCCTTCAAAAATTTGACAAAATTGAATTTTTTTTTACTTTTTTTAAAAAATTTATTTGACAGGTAAAGTCATAGACAGTGAGAGAGAGAGACAGAGAGAAAGGTCTTCCTTCCGTTGGTTCACTCTCCAAATGGCCACCACGGCCAGCGCTGCGCCAATCCCAAGCCAGGAGCCAGGTGCCAGGTGCCTCCTCCTGGTCTCACACGTGGGTGCAGGGGCCCAAGTACTTTGGCCATCCTCCACTGCCTTCCCGGGCCACAGCAGAGAGCTGGACTGGAAGAGGAGCCACCGGGACTAAAACCAGCGCCCATATGGGATGCCGACGCCGCAGGTGGAGGATTTAACCTAGTGAGCCACGGCGCCAGCCCGGCAAAATTGAATTGTAAAGTTTATTATCCACAGAGTTCTTTGTGGAAGCACAATTAGTTATGATTTTATTTTTATTTTTTTTTTAAATATTTATTTGAAAGTCAGAGTTACACAGAGAGAGGAGAGGCAGAGAAAGAGAGTGAGAGGTCTTTCACCCGATGGTTCACTCCCCAACTGGCCGCAACAACTGGAGCTGCGCTGATCCGAAGCCAGGAGCCAGGAGCTTCTTCCTGGTCTCCCACACAGGCGCAGGGGCCCAAGGAGTTGGGCCATCCTCCACTGCTTTCCCAGGCCATAGCAGAGAGCTGGATCTCAAACCAGCGCCCATATGGGATGCCAGCGCTTCAGACCAGGGCATTAACCCGCTGTGCCACAGCGCTGACCCTGCCCACAAGTTATGATTTCAATAATATCTCACTCTCTGTGTTTATTCTGTGGAGTTCTGTTTAAAATGCTGAAAAACCTATGAAAGGCTATTGGTGCATGACACAGCCACTCTCCATCTTTAATTGGGTCGCCGCCCACATCTGCTTTGTAGTCTGGAAAGAGTGTTTCTTGTTAGACAGAATTTGGATTCTAACTACGCGGACCTCTTCCTTACTTCCTGCAGATTTTCAACTCTCCTGGGGACACTTTTCCTACCCTGCCTCTGTCTCCACGGTTCCCAGGCTATGCAGAGTCTAGTTAAAGAAAAGAGAGATGCCAAGACCACCAGAGAAACCGACAGAGGGGGCATCCAGAGCCAGTGCCTGGGAAAACCAGGGCAGGCGTCTGTGCGGACAGCGGTCTGTGCACCTGCCTCTCGCCCTGGGCTGGGGACGGCAGTCTACTTCTCAGACAGCACTCCTTGGTCTGTGTGAGGAACAGCCCCGGCATTTATGATGCAAGACTTCCGATGCTGCAGCTCCCCACCTAGGGAGACTCCACCTGGCAGCACTCAGGCCACACTGGCTGGCCGCCGGTCACTGGAAAGCCATCCTATGAAGCCTTCCTTCTGGACAGGGTCCTTTAAATAACCAGCAGCTTTTCCACATACCCATTCCTCCCAGGAATGGCTGAGGCAGGCTGTGCTTAAGAATGGGACTTGTGGGGCCGGCGCTGTGGAGTAGCGGGTAAAGCCGTCGCCTGCAGTGCTGGCATCCCATATGGGTGCTGGTTCAAGTCCCGGCTGCCCCACTTCCGATCCAGCTCTCTGCTTGGCCTGGGAAAGCAGAAGATGATCCAAGTCCTTGGGCCCCTGCACCTGCGTGGGAGACATGGAAGAAGCTCCTGGCTTCGGATCAGTGCAGCTCTGGCCGTTGCGGCTGATTGGGGAGTGAACCAGTGGATGGAAGACCCCCCACCTGCCTGTCCTTCTCTCTCTGTGTAACTCTGACTTTCAAATAAATACATAAATCTTTTTTTTAAAAAAAGAACCGGACTTGTATCCAGGTTCTGGCTCTCCCACGCACCAGATGGGTGATGGTGGTTAAGTCACTCAATTTCCCTTCTGCAAAGTGGAGACAACGTTGGTACCTACTGCAAGTGGATTTCACGAGACAGTCAAGATGCCGCACTGGGACACGAAGCATAATGCTGGCACTTACTGCACTTGTGCTGTCAATTACTAGTATGATCATGAAGCCACGAGTCCAGTTTTCTTTCTTTCTTTTTTTTAAATAAAAAAGACTAAAAACTCATCATGTGAGATACTGTGGTGTATCCTAAGCATTGAATATTGATGACCACCCACTGAAACTTTCCACACATTTAGAATGAAAACATCCATATCCTGAATGCTCAAAATCACACTGTTTTAAGTACAGAACAAAAGCACAATCCAACTACCACGTACTATACAGAAACCTCACAAGTTTCAGAACTGGTGCCGGAGTTCAGCCTGCTTCCACTCTGTCACACCTTTCCCCCCATCACTGGAATCTGTGTGATCCAGTTTTGAGAACTAACCTCAGGGTGTGATCTGCATTTTTCTAAGGCTTTCCCATATATCTTATGAGGACTGGATGCAGAAAAAAGTTCTTTGAAAATCGTGTAAAACAAGCCACCTGTAAATCACAGAAAAAGGTGAAGCAAAGCAGGGCCAGATGAAACGGTGAGTCACACAGATACTCAAGGGAGTTATACTTGCTGTTTTTTCAACCTGTGATGCCGATTCCAATAAGCACCACTAGCAAGTAGGAAAAGTCTCTTCCAGCTTCTTTCACTGTAAAGAGAAAAGGTCGATGAGTTACACATGTGCCAGCCGTCACCCACCTGCTTGCCACCTGGGTGTGTCCAGAAGCCAAGACACAGGCTCAGGACCGAAGTGAGTGCGTTGGGTGTGCTCTGCAGCAGCTGCCCTTGAATCTTTCAGTGTACGTGAAACTTGGAGGGTGCTCGGAGCAGGCCCAGCATCTGATTTATTTTGTTTAACACAGTGTTACAATTCTAATAGCCTCTTACTTTCTAAAATCCCCCTCCGGTCCCTTGGAGTGAAAACAACCCTGGACACAGGTCTGCCACCCAGATACAGTGATAGCTTTGCCAACCACAGGGTCAAGGAGACCAAAATCAGTGTCACCTCTCAACAGACAGTAGCTTTCCCAAATGCCACCTCTTCCCCAACCCGAACTCCACCAGACTGGTGCATAAAATGAAAACACAGAATGTGAATTTGGTTGGCCAGAAATATGTGATTCAAGTAACTCAGAACATGAAGAACCTGCACAGATCGCACAGGTGCTCCTCAACTTACAATGGGGTTACGTCCTGATTAAAACACCATGAACTGCAGAGTGTACTGTACACTGGAGGGGCACAAAACACAGCTTAGCAACACAGCACACTGCAGGGCGTTGGCTGTTTCCCTCCGTCGTGAACCCAGAGCTGCCTGGCAGCTGTGCTCACTGCCTCGCCCAGGGCTGAGAGATCCTCTCACGGTCTGGGAGAAGATCCAAGTCCACAATTTAAAGTATGGTTTCTCCTGAATGTGTATGGCTTTTGCACCATCCTAACGTCGAAAAATGGTGAACTGAACCACTCTAAATCAGGGAATGTCTGTATTTTTTTCCCACACACTAATGTGTGCATATGGGTTAAGCAGAGAAGAACTGGTAACTAAAGAAATTCCATCAGTGCATTGTTAAGGGACACAGTGTTATATTGACAGCTGTCAGTATATATCTTCATATATTCACAAAGAGCTTCAACATTATTATTACAACTACAGCTTTTTATTGATGCTGAAGAAGTGAAGCACTTCCTAATATTGTACTTATAATTTATTCACCACGCTAGGAATCTAGACTTCTTAAATACAAATCTCTTACAATTTTTTTTCCAGAAAACCAGCAAAATTTTAACACTGTTATTTTTGCCCCCATTTTTCACTTTTGTACAACAAGCTCCTAATGCTTTCATAACATAAACAAGTAGTCCAGGTTTTCAGTACAGGTACTTAATTTAAGAGATGCAATTCAAAATAAAGATAGTATCTGTTAAAAAAAAAAAAAAAAAACTGTGTAATTGAGGGGACTGATCTAGAGAGTACCTACCACCACAGACCCAATCTCGGTTCAGGAGTTGGGAAGGGCTACATGTGACAGTGTCTCACTCCATTCTCTATTAATGTCACAAAATACTCTTCAACATATACTAACAAGCCCCAGTTGAGAGCACAATCATGTGACTAAGTAGCGTATTTGTGCCTATTACCCAACAGGCCACTGGCCCCAACACCCTGGACTGCTGATCCTCTCCCAACATTCAGCTTGCCTTGCTATTTAATCATTTCTCTCCAGGCAGCTCCTGCACACCTACTCTGTTAAAGCCCTGTGCTGAGTGTTACTCATGTTCTACACATAAAAATTCACATCTGAGGCCAACATTGTGGTGCAGTGGGATAAGCCACTGCCTGTGACACTGGCATCCCATACGGGCACCAGTTGAGTCCTGGCTGCTCCATTTCCTATCCAGCTCCTTGCTAATGTGCCTGCTAAAGCTGTGAAACATGGTCCAAGTACGTGGGTCCCTGGTGCCTACACAGTAGGACTGGATGGAGTCCCAGGCTCCTGGAAATAACAGAATGGCCCTGGACAGAACAACACTGGAGGGACTGGAGGGAAGGCTCAGCACGCTCAGAGGACGGGCATGCTGGAGTGGACGTGAGTACCAGAGGCCAGAGAACACTGTTTACCAAAGCCGTAAAGAGCCACACAGTCACATCACTCAAGAGTAGGGTCCCCCGACAGTGCTAGGGACAAAGGGAGCGTGTAACAGATCAGTGCACCTACCACACTGAACGGCCAGGCTACAGCGGCAGTGCCAGACCTACAGAGAGCGGCTGAGATGAACAGTCCATGGGAACGTGGTGCTGCCACGTGAAGGCTGACGGCAGCTGACAAGGACGATGCTCAGTTGTGTAATCATTAGAAATTATCTATGGGTGATTCGGTGGCTGCCCCAGTTTCTGGACCAGAGTCACTGAGACCTGGAGCCCACTCGCCACGGCCACCTCCCTCTGAGGCACTTGGACAAGTGCATACGATGACTCACCGGTCCTCCACTAAAGGACCTGCAGTCACAACGGCACCCAAGGACCCAGGCCGCAGGGCTCCCCTGTGAGGAGTGTAGGGGGCCACGGCACAGCATCTGGCTTGTAAAGTGTTCACAGCTGAGCTCAGGGACTTGCCCAGTAGTCAATTCCCTGATTTCCGAATGTGTGACTGGAATGGAGTATTCAGTAACTCGAGTTTCTCTGGAGGCGGGTGAAGAGCTATCACAGTGGGAAAGTCTAACAGAAGCTTCTGAAACTACCACCTCCAACCCAACCTAGACAGCAAATCAAAATGCATCACTTCTACGGGGCATGCCAGAGACAGTGCGACTCCTGGAGGGCTGTAGTCCCCACCGTATTCTCACGTCAATCACCAGTCTTCCACTGACAGAAACCCCAGGAAGAGGCCAGAGTGACAGTACTTCAGTGCGCACTCAACCAGCAGTAGCTGCAACCCAGGTGCAAAACCAGATCCTGCGACTTCCCGGGAGCACAGTAACACGGCCTCACGCGCTGGGATCGAGCCGGAGAGCACTGAGAAGGAGCAGACACCAGCGTGTATCTGTGGTCTTGCTTAGGACTGCGAGTTCTCTCATCTCATCATATACAGTCCTAAGGGACTGGAGCCTTCTGAACCTGGGCCACCACAATTGGCACTGGCCACCCATGGCTGTGAGTAGCTTTAGATGAATTTAAATAAATAAGATAAACTCAGCTTGCTGGAAAATTCAAGTGCCCAGCAGCTGCGTGTGCCTACCAGACTGGACAACGCAGACAGAGAACATTCCCGTCACTGTAGAGAGCATCTGGACAAGGCTGCTCTGGACAGCTGGCAGAGTATGGACGCCATCGTCTTAGAGTCCAGAAGCAGTAAGGGGCAGTGCACTGGAAGGCTGGGTAAGACGAGGGCCCCAAGAGGGAAAGGCGTGCCTGTGGAGACGCAGAGGCCCCCTCGCCCACCACATCAGCCGGCCTTGTAGAGAGCCCTGGTCTGAGACGTGCTAGGGTGTTCCACCCCAAGTAAAGGGGAAATCGCATCCTACCCTTCCCACCACAACACGTGTAGGGCCTCCTTGGATTCTGGAGCCAGCATCTTCCACATCCGGGAATACTGCTCCCACCGACTGAGTGACGGGAAGTCTGTCACCTCTGAACGGGGTCCATGTCAGGAAAGGACTCCGAAGCGCCCAGCCTGTCATAAAACAGGTGACCGACGCAAGGGCCGTCTGCCACTTCCACTCCTGTCCGCGTGCAGCTGCGCCTTTCATGCCGGATCGCCATCACGAATGAAAATCAGATTGGTTCTGACCCATTAGTAGAGTACAAGACATCTGGCAGGACCTGAGACTTGGAAACAATTTACTAGGAAATGTATCTGTATCGAAAGGACATACACCTTATCTCTGCATGGTATAGGCAGGGGTCTACACTGCTTTCTTTGCTTCTCTCCCCTCAATTACTTTTGAAACGAAGAAACGAAAACTTAAAATACCTGTGAAACTATTCTGGTTTTCCCTTACAAGTCACATTTCCTCCTGTTTTGTACGTCTCATGACTGCATGTAACATCGCAGGCCAGGGGTGCTGCGGACACCTTTAATTCTGTGGTCTACGGGGGCTAACGCAGGGCCTCGGCACAGCAGCAGTTACTCAACACAAGTGCACGTGGGTCGACCTGCATAGCGTTCTCCCTACTATGAACGGATCAGCTCTCTCTTCTGCTTAGCCAACTACTCTGTTACATGGACCAGGGCTCACTCAAGCCGAGAGAAGCTTCCTAGACACAGTGCGGACGTGACATGTCACATGACGTGACATGCAACGCGACATTCATGACCAGCACCGCGTCCGTGCAGGCCGCCGTGGGCGTCCACCCCAGCTGTCACTGCTGGTTCAACCCGCCAGCCACGTCTGCATCGTCGGCAGCGGCCGCGCTCCCATCACCGCGGGTTCTGTTACCTTTCTGTGAGGCTGAGACGGCCGGGTCCCTTCCCTGAGCTCCGTGCACGGACACCTGCTTGCTGCTGTCCTCCTCGGCCTTCCGGGGGCTCGGGCACCCGGTCCAAAGGGCCTTCTGGGCGGCGCCGAGGCCAGGTTCGGGCCGCGGGGTTCTCCGCGGCTCTTGCCGCCCCCATGTCAAACGGGGCCCGGGCTTCAGGCACGATCTGTGAAGCACCACGCGTGGCGAAAACCAGCGCTTGCCCGAGCACCTGTGCAGCTTCTCCGCACACCGCGCAGCCCGGAGCAAGTTACCGATCATGCTCGCCGCAAGCTGTCCCGTCGGGGGCCGATGCCAAGTACAACCAGCAGAGCCTCACAGTCCGCCACGCAGCCAGCCGCACACGTGCCTAGGCCCGCGTCACGCACAGTGCTGGGAGGCGTCTCCTACGACGGAACATCGCCCCAGAAAAGTTTATGCTCGCTTTCCCTTCTCGTAAAACCTGACCCCCTTCTACGCTGACATTCACACCGCACCGCGGCGCCTTCGCAAGGTAACCCGGGAAGCTCGAGAGCATCCTGGGAACTGCAGTGCCGAGCCCTGCTCCTAACGCAGCCGCCGGGCGCGGAAGGCGAGCAAAGGACTACAACTCCCACAATGCAAGGCGCTCGGGCGCGTCGGCCTTCTCAAGGCTCCCAGACGCTCTGCGCGGGACGCATGCGCCGCTCGTCCTTCAAGTACAGGAGGGCGGGGCCGCGCTAGTGAGGAATTCCTGCTTCGGTCCCTGCACTGTCCAACCCGAAGTTTAAAAAGAGGAACCTACAACTCGCGTTTTCCTGACTCTTCTAGACAGGACTGAACACTGGGACATCCGTCCGACTGTGGCATTGCGGGCCCGAACAGGCCGAGGCTGTAGTTCCGGCATTTCCAAAATTCAGTTTTTTCTTAAGAGTTTGCCACACAGTACACAGCAAGTGGAGCTCACGGAGCATGCTCCTGAGGGGCGTCCTCGGCGTCGGGACGTCGGGGGCGTGGGAAAAAGCGGGACGCGGAAGCGCCCAGAACGCCGCACCGGAAGCGGTGGCGCCCCAGGGGGGCGTGTCCGGGAACTGCGCACGCGCCGCCTCTCCACGCTCTGCGCACGCGCCCGGGGCGGGACTCCCGGTCTCCATGGCGACCGGACGCGGTCGGCTCCTGCAGCAGCACTGGCTTGGCCTCCAGGCTCTGTACTGGCCCCTGCGCGGCCGGGGGTCGGCTTGCGAGAACCCTGGGGAGGCCGCGCGGTGCCCAGGGCCTTCGGGGCTTAGGTGACGGTCGGGGGGAACCGCGGGTGGGGGCTCCGCGGCTCGGGAAGCCTTCGAGTGTCCCTGGCCCCGCCCCTCGGCTCTCCCACGCGTGTTTTTATTCCACGGGCTGTTTCACGCGGGACAGCCGCTTTGTCCTGGACTTGCGGGCGCTCCAGGTTGTGGTACAAGCAGTGCAGTGTCCGGGGTCAGGTCCTGGTGTCGTGCGTCCCGGGACGCGGTTGGCCCCCGCCCACATCTTGGGACCCCCGCCCCGAAGTCTCGTCTTTTCAGGGCCCTAGGGTTCCGAGGGCGCATCCCGCCTCGTGCACGGGGCGACGGCAGGCTCGTCCTCTGGTCTGTGTTCCTGGGGTCTCTTGGGCCTGGACTCCCCGGGGTGGGGTAGGGGCCGGGGGCTGGATGCCGCGTCTGCCTCCGGCCTCTTCCCCGAGCTGTTCCCGTCCCCCGCCCCTGCCCAGGGCCGGCGGTGATGGTCTCCCCAGGCTCCCCTACTTGATAGATACAGGAGCGCGGCGCATTCTGCCTTCTGATAGCCAAACGTGAAGTGTAGACAAGGATTGGTCCTGGCCGAGCTACTCAAGCCCATGCTCACCCCAATCTCCAGGGCTGGGTTCCGTGGCCTCCAGGCTCAGTGTCCCCAGGAACCGTGTTTGCAGGTCACAACCCTGTTCCTCATCGTTCTTGATGGAAGAGCTGTAACGCCAGGCGTGCCACCAGCCTGTGACAAGGCGGTAACAGTACTAGCAAAAGTTCTATTATGTAGAATTAGGTAGGAGAGAAAGATTGGAATTTAAATAGGGCACTTGAACTTTAAATCAGTTTGCCAGTGTTACTAAAATTGGTCTTTACATGGGGCTCTGGAGTGAAGAGTCTCTTTTTCCTCAGTAAGCCGGTGCACTTCCTGGTGGGATAGTGGATTTAGGGAGCCCTGACAGAGGCCTGTCATGGAAGCCTGCATTTCAGCCTGTGACTCAGGGCTGTGTACATTTCCTTCTGGCAAAGAAAAATCAGCTGCCCCAATTAGGATGCTCGACTGTGGTTTAAAAGGCGGTTATTTTTAATATCTCTGCAACATTACATGTTAATAAGGAGTCAGTGGTTCCTTTTTTACATAACGTGATATAAATGTCACAAGCTAAGTATAGCAAAAAGCATATCGGCTTAAATTGAACTTAGTCTAATTTATTTTCGTTGTGAGATTAAAATAAGGCACAGAAGTTAAAATTTTTAAACTACTGGACTTACTTAAAACTATTAGGTGAAGATTTGACCCTTAAAAAGGGGTTTTCAAGCTCAGTGTTATTTTAGTCTATCAGTGTCTGTTTTGTAGACACAAGTGTGCCAGAGGCTGGCCATGGGACTTCCTGATGTGCTGAGTGTGTGGCCCTCAGAAGTGTGTAGCTGGTTTACTTTGTAGAGGCATTAAAGATAGGATTTCAGTAATGCTGGAAGTTATGTTGATAAGATTCATGATCTTATCATGGTGGCATGAGTAGGAGTGGAGGTCTTGGGGGCTGGCTGCCTCTGTCTTGGGTCTCTTAAGCAGGTCCTTTTAATTTGTTGAATTGGAGCCTTAGTCTTCGAACCTGTGAAATGAGGGACTCTGTGACCTACTGTAACTAATTTTCTTTTAAAAATTCATTTGAGAGGCAGAGAGAGGGAGAGAGAATGAGCATGAGTGCTCTCTACCATCTGCTGGTTCACTCCCCAAATGGTCACAAAGGCCAGAAGTGAAGCCCAGAGCTGGGAATTTAACCTAGCCCTTCCATGTGGGTGTCAGGGACCTACCCGCCCTGCCTCTCTGGGCTGTGTCCCTGGGAAGCTGGAGCTGGGGTTTTAACCTAGGCCTTCTACGTGGGTGACACCCCCCAAACCTCGCCCCACCCCCCGCCTCTCAGGGCTGTGTCCGTGGGAAGCTGGCGTCTGAAGCCTGGAGCTGGGGTTTTAACCTAGGCCTTCCACGTGGGTGACACCCCCTCAACCTCCCCCGGCCCCCCGCCTCTCAGGGCTGTGTCCGTGGGAAGCTGGCGTCTGAAGCCTGGAGCTGGGGTTTTAACCTAGGCCTTCCACGTGGGTGACACCCCCTCAACCTCCCCGACCCCCCGCCTCTCAGGGCTGTGTCCGTGGGAAGCTGGCGTCTGAAGCCTGGAGCTGGGGTTTTAACCTAGGCCTTCCGTGTGGGTGTCAGGGACCCCCCCTCCCCTGCCTCTCTGGGCTGTGTTGTTGGGTAGCTGACATCTGAAACTGGAGCCGGGGATTGAAGCCAGACATTGTGATGTGGCACATGAGTGCCCCGTGTGAGGCTGAGTGCCAGTTACTTAGGGGATCTGTGTTGATTGCGGGAAAAATAAGGCAACGCGGTGAGTGCTTTAACACCGGCCTCATCCTCCTTCACGTGTTGGGACTGCAGGAGGCGATTAGTTTCTGTTCTAAGCCACTGGTTCATGGTACTTGCCTAGGCAGCCCTCGGAAGCAATCCAGTGTGGGAATTCTGTTTTCCTTCTGATTGCTGTGTGAGGGCCGACGGAGGAGCTTTTCTGTGACAGGTAGACTGCTGTAGGGGCAGCACTGCACAGCTCCACGTTTGCGTCTCTTCCTGTCTTCTCTGTTCCTTCCTGTTCTGCAGAGCACATTGGTCTTGCCTAACTTGAAAACGTTGGCTAGAGAGTCAGATGAGACAAAAAAAATAAATAAATAAAAATCCAGTACTTTATGCAAGGCACGCATGTGTGGCCAGCATTTTTCCTCCCCTCAGGATCTGGAAAAGTTTACCTTACTGAGTCTTACTCAGATGATCACTAATGTTTATGGAGGGGTTATTGTGCGTCAGCCATTCTTGTTCCAAAGAGAGGAAAAATCTACCAAGGAAAGAGAAATCCATTTTCCACTTGCTTACAAGCACACGAGGGATTGTTGCTGAGAATGACAGATGGGCACTGCTGGGTGACTTGGTGCTTATTGGTGTATATGTATCTCAGTGCACCATGTGGGCAGTAGGTGTTAGGCCAGGCTGTTGTGTGGTCAGCTGAGGCCTTGCGCAAGGGCTCCCCTTTCAGTGTCTGTGCCTTGTACCAGCAGGTTGTGTTTTTCTTGGCACTAAGGGCCAGCTTCCGTTAAGATCTATTCTGTGTGAATTTCGTGCATCAACTCCCAGAGAGTTACTTACCTTACCGTCAGAGTTCTGTGGCCCCTGGTTGTTGTCTACATCCTTTTTGAGTGTTAGTTTAAATGCATCTGGGGATCAGGCTGGCAGGAAAGCCAAAGGTGGAGAGACTTTTGGTGAGCAAATTACATAATCCTAGCAGTGGTGCTGGGGAACCCAGTGTGTGGGTGATGGAAACTGTGGTTTGGAGTTTCTCAGACACCATGCAGGTTGGCAGGTGGATCAATAACTGATACCTGTGTTTTGGACAGTGCTTAAAGAAGCAACTAGCAAGCTTTCCACAGGGCACAGCCGCGGGGTGCTGTCCCCGGGGGTTACTGCGCAGGAGTGAGAGGCTGTGGCCACGTGACTTTCTGTGTCTCCAGATCCCCTCCAGACCACCGTTGAACATCCCTGCACTTGAGGGTCGGCCTCAACAGAAGTTTATTTTCTGAAACTGAAAAGGACTAACTGCAAACAGTATCATACCCTATTGCACTGAATCTGAAAGGCTGTTAGTCTGTAAGGCGCACTATTGCTTTACACATGGCCAAATAAGATGATGGTCAGTGTACGTAGACTCCATTGAGAGTGAGGTATTAGATGGTGAGAAAACCGTGGATGAATATTTGGTGCTCCTGTGGCTCTGGCTGCCAAAGCCTGAGTAGGAGCTGGCCCTTGCCCCTCTAAGGCAGCAGAGCTGTGGCTGTCAGTTGTTGACAGTTCTAGTTCGCAAATCTGCAGGTTAGAGGAATTCCATCAGTGCAGTCTTCCAGGCCTCTGTTGTATTATCAAGCTGGCCAATCACTATGGTTTACCAGTTGTCCTTTTTGTTCCCGTAAATGTATTTTACAGCACCTGGTTGACCTACTGCCAGCCCACAGTGAGAGTAGGTATTTACCTTAGGTTGAGAACACATCGGAGTAAGCCCAGTCTTCAGGTTTGCTTCCTCCAAACACTGATTTACAACCCACTCCTTCCTTCTTCTCCATGCCTGCTTGCTTTGCATAGGTGAAGTTTTGCGAAATCTTTGGCGTTTATGAATCCCGTAGGATTTTGTAGAGGGGAACAGATAATTCACCTCATTGACTGATTGTGTGATTTCAGTTTCTCACATTTACTTTCAGAAAGGGACCAGGGGTCAGATTCGCTGTGGGCCGCGCTGCTGGAAGACCCTGTGCCAGGCACACACAGCACTGTGAGAGGTCCTCTGGCTGCCCTGTGTCCCTGGCGAGGTAAGTAGCAGAGGCAGCCTCACTCTGGGTGGAGCCGGGCTGGGTGGAGGTGTGTGCGCTCCAGGCATGGGGTTATCAGAGAAAGTTAATAATGCTTTGTACATAATGCTGTTCTGAGCTCTCCAAGAATAGGCGTGCGTGGGCTGAATGCATAACACGGAAAGTTTGAAGTGAGTCATGAGCCTGTCACTGTTCTTATTAGAGTAGTTTTATGAAGCTAAACTTCTGTGACAAGTAAATTGAATTGTCCTTTTATTAAAATGTTCTTCAGAATTACTCACTTTTCAATTGCTGAAGACACTTGAGAAAGAAGAAAGAAGATTAAAATGTGTTTTCTTAAAAGCTCAAGAGCCCTCTTGGTTTCTAACTTTCTGTATTTTGAGGACCCATTTTTCCATGGCAAGATTTCATACTGCGGCCCCCAGCACCTAGACCTGTGGAGTTGTTTCTTTTTCTTTCAAAAATTATTGTTTGAAATTGATGCTGAGACGCCCGGAGATGTGTGCTGTGGTAGCAGGGCACACCGACTGTATTCTAAGCGTCAAGTGGAGCTCTGGAAAGTTGCTGTTACTCTAGGGAGGCCCCCCCATAGCTGATAGAAGAGAAATACAAACATAAGTTGCCTTCTTCCAAGCGTGGGGCATTGAGCAAGAGATCATCACTAGCTGCACTAACAGTGTATGCACGACTATGTACATATTTTAGCGTGCTTTAGAAAGAAGCTGAAAAATAAGAATATTCATTTAAGCTTAAAAAACTACACTTTGCAAATAGAAGGTCGTGCAATAGTGCCATATGAGAAGTAAAGCAGATATGTATCCATTTCATTCATCCATCCTGTGCTTGGTGCTATGACCACCACTCACATGTGGTTTCATAAAGCTAGTGGTCTCGTGGAGGGGCAGATTAAAAAAAATAGCTGATTCTTAATTGGAATACATAGTGTCAGGAAAACAGTGGATTCCATATTCCATGGTAGTGTGGTAGGCTGGTGAGGAAGGACTTCTCTCTGAGGAGGAGACATGTAAGATGAGCAGACAACTGAGATTGAGGAGCTTGGTGGGGAGGAGCGTACCAGAGAGGGGACAGCAGAGGGCGAGTCGGGAGCTCCAAGGCCGTAGGGCAGGGCCACTGGGCAGACAGGGCATGGTGGGAGAGGGACTGCCGGACCACGGGGTGGAGTTTGGGCTTTATTATATCACGGTGTGATGTAATTTGATTTCTAAAGTTAGCTTGTTTACCTGGCACTCATCTGTAGAAGGAAGGGAGAAGGAGAGACATGGGCAGATTTGAGATGTGTGTGGGGAGTGTGGCTGACACCACTCATTCATGAGTAAGATGGAGGTGGGAGGAGAAAACAGACATGGGGTAGAAATCCCCAACTGTTGGCGTGAGCAGATGTGCACGTGGGGGTGCAGCTGGGGATGGAGAGCAGTTGGGGTAGGGGCAGAGGAGAGGGTCACAATAATGGCTTTGGACTTGTGACTGCTGAGATGGCTGGGACGTGTGCAAAGAAGGATGCATCTAGTCTAGTCTGGGGCGGGTTCTGACAGGAGTGAGCACTCAAGGAGTTGGCTGGGGTGGACAGCAGGTAGCAACGAGACCAGCGGAGGCTCAGGAGCAAGCTGGGGGAATGAGGTCATTGAGAAGCGACCGAGGAGCCAGGGAACACCCATGAGCTGGAAGAAATCAAGAAGAGGGGCCGTTGTGTGAGCCATGAGAGACAGCTGCTGCATGAACCAGAGTGGTCAGTCCCCTGCTGCCTAGAGAGGGCGAGTGGCAGGAGGCAGTGGAGGGCTTGGCGGCCGGGAAGATGGGGCAGCCTCAGAGCTGTTCAGACCATAGACTGGAATGGGCTGGGCGCTTATGTTTGTAGCTCTGTGTGTGTGATATTTCACACTGAAATGTGAAAAGCAGACAGTAGGAGGCATGGATGTGGAGGCAGTGGGTGGAGTTAAGTTTTTTTTTTTTTTCTTTTCCCAGAGGTATGGCAGCGAAGGGAGCGTAGAAGCTGTGTGGTAGCTGGAGCGATTGGGGTGGCAGGACCAAGGGGAGAGGACAGTGTTAGCATGTGGTGTTCTGGGGCTGATGTGAATGGTGCCGAGGGTGATGTGCGAATGGAGGCTGAAGAGCCTGGGGACACTGGGGACCAAGGCACAGCTGGTGTGACGGGAGGAAGTGGTTGTTCTGTCCTGGAAGTGGGGCGGGGTAGGACGGTAAGTGCACGCAGGTTGGCACGGACCCACGACATGAAACAGGGACAAGGTCGTGTTCTTCTGTGATTTCACATACTACTGAGAACAAACATGTACCAACCACTTTAACAACAACAGGGAAGCCTGCTGGCCTGAAACAGTTTTCCTTGCTCTGACATTCTAAGTCTTTATGACTGTTCAGCCTCTCACTTTCCCCTTGTTCCTTTCCTCACCGTCATTTCCTGTCCTTACCCCAATAATTATGTGAAATTGGGAATAATACAGTGCAACAGAAAGTAACCCAGCATGGCATAAGTGTTGATTATACCAACTTCAAGGAACCCTTAAGAACAGTAACTTTTTTATAAAAAGATTTATTTATTTATTTATTTTGTTTGAAAGGCAGAGTTACAGACAGGCAGAGGCAGAGAGAGAGGTCTTCCATTCGCTGTTTCACTCCCCAGATGGCCACAATGGCTGAAGCCAGGAGCCTGGAGCTTCTTCTGGGCCTCCCATGTGAGTGCAGGGGCTCAAGAACTTGGGCCATCTTCTACTGCTTTCCGCGGCCACAGAAGAGAGCTGGATAGGAAGTAGAGCAGCTGAGTCTCAAACCAGCACCCATAAGGGATGCTGGCTCTGCAGGCAGAGGCTTTACCTGCTATGCCACAGTGCCAGCTCCAGGAATAATAAAACAATCTTGGAGGGGTAGGTATTTGGCCTAGGGGTTAAGATGTTGGCATTCTTAAGCCGGGGTTTAGCTCCTGGCTCTGACCCCTGACTCCAGCTTCCTGCCAGTGCAGACCGTTGGAGGCAACAGTGGTGGCCCAGATGGGTGGGCTCCTGCCACTTATGTGCAAGACCTGGATTGCGTTCCAGACTCACAGCTTTGGCCCTTCCATACTCAGCTGTTGTGAGCATTTAAAGAGAGAACTAACAGATGGGAGCTCTCTATCTGTTGCTCTCTTTGCCTTTCAAACGAAAGGAGAGAATGTCTTTGAAAACATAGAAAACAGTTGCTTTGACTTTAGAAATTTTTTCTATAGCTAAAGTCGCAGAAAGTGAAGCCTTTTTATTGTCTTAGTCTGGTGGCTAGGGAGGTAAAAAATCCTGTCTAATGCCTGTCTTCAGTAGGATTTTTCCAGTTACATATTTCTTCTAGTTGCTGCATACCTTTCTGAAATGTTGCCTTTAAGTCTTAACTCTTAAGTTTTCTTTAATTACACTGATTAAAAAAAAATTATGGGGGCTGGCGCCATGGCTCACTTGTTAATCCTCCACCTGTGGTGCCAGCATCCCATATGGGCGCCGGGTTCTAGTCCCGGTTGGTCCTCTTTCAGTTCAGCTCTTTGCTGTGGCCCAGGAAGGCAGTGGAGGATGGCCCAAGTGCTTGGGCCCCTGCACCCACGTGGCAGACCTTTCTTTCTGTCTCTCTCTCTCACTGTCTAACTCCATCTGTCAAATATATAAATATATATATATATATAATTTAAAAAACAATGCTTGTGAAATAGTTAAAAGAGAAAAACGGTATGCAGTGCATAGTACAAATAATCCCCAAAAACCTGGTTTTTTGTTTTGTTTTTTTTTTTTTTTAACTTTGCTGTCTTTAGTATCGGGGACTGTTTCTTATTCAAAGCATCTAATTGATTGACTCTGACCGTAAGAGAGTTCATCTGGGGAGAGACATTTAGCTAATACCCAAGCAGAGCTGCTTGTTTAGACTGTCTGCAGGTCTCGGCTAAATATCTCAGTTTTGGGCAGTTGTGGCACTTGGTAGTGGCATATCACAAATAGGTGTGACGTTGATCATCCTTTTTGTGATGACTCAGGTTATTATTAATATTCTCAAAATTTGTAACTGGTTTTTTCTGTATGACATGTTGATAATCTGATTCACATCATAAACAAAAAAAATCATTAAAATCACAAGTAGAGAATGGGCAAGCCATTTTAAATTGATAAAAGGATTTTCCCCTCAGGCCTTTCTCCCTGGACCCCTTCCCCTCAACTCTTGCTCCAGTCTTGTGGGGCTTCCTCTTCCTTCTCCCTTTTGCTGGAGCTCATCAAGGTGCATGAATGCCCCTTCTGACTAACAACATTAGTAGTGCTTTATGGGCACTTTCAGATTTTTAGTATATTTTACAGATTTTTTTTTCTTTTTTCTTTATTTATTTGAAAGGCAGAGTTACAGGAAGGCAGAGGTAGAGAGCAAGCAAGGACTTTGATCCACTGGTTCACTCCCCAGTTGGACTCAGTGGCCAGAGCTGGGCCAATCTGAAGCCAGGAGCCAGGAGCCTCCTCCAGGTCTCCCACGCGGGTACATGGCTCCAAACTCTTGGGCGATCCTCCACTGCTTTCCCAGGCCATAGCAGAGAGCTGGATTGGAAGTGGAGCAGCCGGGACTCGAATTGGTGTCCATCTGGGATCCTGGTACTGCAGGGGCAGCTTTGCCCACTGTGCCACAGCACCGGCCCCTATTTTACAGAATTTTAAGATCATTGCAATAGATGAAATATTGAGGACACATCTCAGCATCATATTTACTTAATCACATGAATGCAAAAGACACTTCAGGAAACTTTGTGGGTTTAGTGTCTCCATGAGCCCCTAGAAGAAGCAAATGACCAAAAGTGTGAGGGCATCCCAGAGGGGGTGTGGTGGGGCAATAATCCCACTTCCCACCCCACTTACTCTTTCGTTTGCTGGTGGTGGTGGTGAGGGGTGGTCCTGTGTTTCTGTCACAGCTAAGAGTGGTTGTGTCTGTCTTTATCTCACCAGAGGAGAGCCGACACTTCTATGAGACGGCAGTGAGGTCCTGCTGCTGATCAGGCTGTGTGCGCGTGACTTAGACGCGGGGGGAGTTAGCTCTTTTACTCTTGGGTGTCTTTATTGGTTTCAGTCACAAGAATTGTGATACCAGAAGCTATCAATGAAGAAAATAATTGAAGACGAGGGCACAGCTTGCCTTCTGTGCAGGAGGGCCTGCAGCCAGTGGTTTTCTGGGTCATTTGTAAAGTATGCACTTGTTAATGTTGCTGCTTCTCTCCCCTCTCTCAGAATGCCTTCAGAAATCTTGTTGAAGATACTTTCCTACCTGGATGCTGTAAGTTTGCTGTGCATTGGATGTGTAAGCAGGCGCTTTTATCATCTGGCCAATGACAAGTAAGGAGGAAGCCAAGCCTCTCTGTTGTGTGGTCCTGCCCTCCCTCCCTTCCTCCCTCTCCCTCTTCTTCTCTCTCTCTTTCTTTCTCTTTCTTTTTTAAAGATTCATTTATTTATTTGAAAGGCAGAGTTGAGAGAGAGAGAGAGAGAGAGAGAGAGAGAGAGATCTTCCATCCACTGGTTCACTCCCATGTGGTTTCAGGGGCCCAAGGACTTGGGCCATCTTCCTATGCTTTCCCAGGCACATTGTAGGGAGGTGGATCAGAAGTGGAATTTGAACCAGTGCCCACAGGGGCTGCTGGCATTGCAGGCAGAGGCTTAATCTGCCGTGCCTCCTTGCTGGACCCTCTCTTTTGTGTTTTGACGATAGACTGATAGAAGTCGTGAAACCTGGAGAATTTCTTAGCCATTTTAAAAATATTAAGATAATTAATTTTGAGAATATTTTGGACATAAAGAGATATATCTAATGCTTCATGTAATCACATGATACTTCAAATATCTGCATTTATTTGCTTAAAGGAAGGAATGTTCTTTGCATATAATGAGAAGACCAAGCCTGTAAATTGGCATAGCCATTGGAGGGGGCAACTTTGGTGTGTTAGCCAGGAAGCTTGGCTGCGTCGTGCAGAATTGGGCAGACTCACCCGCATGGTCTCAGCAGCACTGCAGGGCCCCTCTTCTAGAACTCCAGCGCCTGGTTGCAGAGCGGTGCGTGCCCTCTGCTGGCAGGCACACAGATCCTAGACAAGGAACAGAATGGGGCTCGGGAACCTGTATTTAGCATCTCCTTCCAGACTTCTGGGGAGAGGGGGTGTGGGGGAGAGAGTGACCCAGGAGGCAGAGGGGTGGAGGGTCACTCCCCGTCACCCAGGCTCACAGGGGTGGAGGGTCACTCCCCGTCACCTAGGCTCACAGGGGTGGAGGGTCACTCCCGTCACCTAGGCTCACGGGGGTGGAGGGTCACTCCCGGTCACCTAGGCTCATGGGGGCGGAGGGTCACTCCCGTCACCTAGGCTCACAGGGGCGGAGGGTCACTCCCGTCACCTAGGCTCACATGAGGAAATGAGCCATGAGGAAAGCAGAGAAGCCTCTGCTTCTGTTTGGTCGCTGTGATCTTTGCCTACAACTCAGAAGTTTATGTTGGGTTGAGAGAGGTTGTAATCTTCCTCACTCCCAGTGAACACTTTGTGGCCTGCAACTGAAAGTGCTGGCTTTTTTGGCCCCCTCCCATTCAACATCAGAAGATCAGATTAACCTTGATCGTACGTAGAACTAACATATCAACCAGGGAATATCAAGGTAAGAGGGAAGACAGGGTGGTTTTGTCAAATAGACAAGGAGATGGAGCATGGCGGAAAGAGGGCTGGGCTATTATTTAATCTTGGGACTCGATGGGCAGGACATGTTATCTGGTGTGTGCCAGTTCATAGAAGATTGCATCATATCCAGCTGGGAAGGTGTAAGAAATCTGGATTCCCTAGTCTGCATTTTTGAAGATTGTAATCCCTTGCTCTGGAGTCTGAACTGACCATCTAGTGTAGCTTTGATGTTGGGTGTTTACCGCTTAAGTGAGAAGCCCAGAATATGCCTTCAGATCACACTGAAGATGTCCTCAGCTGCTGTCGTTCTCAGAAGGGGACATGCGCCATTACCTGGTTGGGGAGGCGCTTTATTATTTGCAATTTATTTATTTATTTTTTGTTAATTGAAGAGAGGGAATCTTTCATGTACTGGTTTGTACCCCAAATGCCCACAGCAGCTGGGACTTGGCTAGGCCAAAGCCAGGAGCTCAGAACTCAGGTCTCCCACATGGGTGGCAGGGAGCCAAGCACTTGAGCTGTGCATCCCTGTGTCCCAGGCTGCACATTTGTAGGAAACTGGATCAGAAGTGGAGCTGGGGCTCTAACCCTGGGAAGTCCAAGATGGTGTCTTCACTGCTGTGCCAAATGCCTGCCCCTTATGCTTTAATTTAAAAGAAGTTTCTCATATGGGAAAAAATCTGCTGGTGTGTCCATCTTCATTAATGTATCTGTGTCAGTGTGTGCCTGCAGATTGATGAAATGCTGGGTCATGTTCTTGAATGTAGCTTTTGAGTGATTGTAGAGCGGTTTTTGTGTGTCTCTTTCCTAATTGCCCAAACAATTAAGAAGGTGTTTTCAAAAGCAAAATGCACCAAGGTAATTTTTGAGAAGGGAGTCAACCATGTGTTGAAAACTGTAGCACTTCCAGGATCGAGTCAGAATCAGGAAGCTGATACAGGTAAACGTTTCTTCATTTCTCCAGTATCACCTCTCTCCACTTCACCGTGAGGAGTAAAGGTGGTGCAGGAAGCAGGCCTCCAGGCATATTTGGGGCCAGGACTCCAGGGCTGTTCTTTGCATGCCTTTGTTGTTGTGTGCCCACCCCACTTTCTTGGAAGTTTTCCTTTAAGAATCCGAGCTTTGGATGAAAATTAACACCTATTTCTTTTCAAAGTTGAATTGTGCTGTTTGTCACAGTCTGAGTTTATACTGAGACTTCATATGAAGATGTATAACCATTGAATGGATAACCAATAAACACTTGTGAAAAGTTAAAAATACCTTCCAAGCATTGCTTCTCAAGAGAGAACAGGAACATACCTTGTACTGTTGACTTAAAGAGAAACACCTTGAACAGTGGTGATCCCTGTGCCCCGCGGGCCCCCCCCCCCCATTCTGGTCCATCAGTGGGGAGGCCTCCTGAGTCTCTGCGTGGGGACAGGGAGGTGAGCAGTAGGTGGCCTCTGGGTCACCACGTGCCGGTTTTATTTGCAATGTGCTCTGGGAAGCTGCATTTTACAAGCAACTTGTTTGACATTTTTCTGAGCCTGGTTGACTGTCATTTGATAAATATACTTTTGTCCTCAAATGTGTCTTAGCTTTGTAACAGGATGGAGAATTTGGGGATCAAGAAATAGAGTGTTGGGGCCAGCACTGTTGTGTAGTGGGTTAAGCTGATGCCTGCAGTGCCCACATCCCATATGGGCACCTGTTTGAGTCCTGGCTGCTCAACTTCTGGTCCTGCTCCTTGCTAATGTGCCTGGGAAAACACTGGAAGATGGCATACCTGGGCCACTGCACCCATGTAGGAGATCAGAATGGAGTTGCTGGCTCCTGACTTTGGCCTGGTCCAACTCCAGCCATTGCGGCCATTTGGGGAATGAACCTGTGGATGGAGGATCGATCTCTCTCTCTCTCTTTCTCTCTCTGTCTCTCTCCCCCCACCCCCTCTCCCTCTCCCTCCCTCTCTCTCTCTGTTTCTCTCTCTTTCTCTCTCTCTGTAACTATGCCTTTCAAATAATTAAAAAAAGAAAAGAAAGTGTTTGGGTTTTGGAAACTGTTTAAAACACCTTAACATATTTTACAATTAGTCAAGGGGAATTTACTACGATGTTTTAATTCTGTAATGCACAACTGAGATAAGGTAATGTGTGAATGTAGTTGGTCCTGCGAGTACGAGGTGTAGTTCTTGTCTCTGGGTGGCTGTGGTGTTTATGCTCTGATTCCTGTCTCCACAGTGGTGCATGTTTTGTGGTTTGTGAGTGCCAGAGCGAGTAAAAAGTGGTAGCAACAGTAGATTACATAGTACTGATGTGAGAAATTTGGCATCCATAAAGATCTTGATAAAGCAAAGGAAAACCTATGTAGAGCGAGATGATATGTCAAATAAATTTGAGTATAACAAGAGCAAGCTTTTATGCATAGTGAGTGTTTAAAAGTGTCAATTCCAGAGATTTTGGTAGAATGCTTTGAGATTTACCTAGATGTACTTGACTAAATCATTTTGTGTCTATTAGCTTACATATGAAAATCCAGAAATTTCTGTTCTTCCATAAAATAGTTTAATATAAGGGCTCGGCTTTAAATGGTTTTGTGGGGTAAGGAATGACCTGAGAATCTGTGTGGAAAGAGATGTCAGCAGGGATCTGTTAGGTGTGAGTGAGTGACTGAGTGTCAAGCTGTCTGCAGAGTGTCGGAAGCGAGATGTGCTGTGGCGTAAGATCCCATCTCTGCTGCCGGCAGTGCGGTAGCCACTCCTCTCTGCAGAGGGTCCCTGGGTGTCTCCAGTGGACCTCCTGCCACTCAGGGCCAGCCCCTTCTGTGGGGGGATTGCTTTCTCCCAGCGATTCCCTCTTGCCCACTGACCGTTTTGTCCTATACTGCTCTAGATGGGAAAGTGGAGGCATCAGTTAGCAAATACTTACATCATATTCATGTGAAATTTGCCTTTCAGATTAGGAAACGGGTTTTCCCCTCTCGGTTTTCCCTAAGTGCTGCCTCTCTCCCTGGTGGAGTGCTGTGGCCCAGGGAGCACAGCTCTCGGGTCAGCTCTAGGCGCACTGGAGCTGCCCTGCGCAGTGACTTCTCAGGGCTCTGAGATGTTGTCTCACAGCTGAATTTGAATTCCAGCCTCGTGGTTCCTTCGCTTCTTTGGACAGCTTATTCATTTTCTTTATGCTGTTGAAGAAGCAGTGACGCGCAGGGGGTAAGAGTGCGAGCTCTGGTTGAGGCTGCGTGGGTTCAGATCCTGTGCCACCACCTGGTTCTGTCTGCACCTGGATCAAATCACTTTGCATCTGGGCCTCAGTTACATCCGCTACTCCATGAGGACAGTAGTTGGAGCCACCTCATTGGTTTATTGTGAGGATTAAGTGTGTTAATCTGTACGAAGTTCTTAAATGTGCTCACAAAAATTTATATTAACTTCCACTATTAGTTATTTTTAAATGATCTCTACTTTTTTTATGCTTGTGAAAGCAATGCTGGTTCATTCTTGAAACATTAAAAATAGAAAGCAAAAACAATACTCAATTCAGTTATTCACTATTGATTTGTTTGCATATATATGTGTATGTATCCTTTCTGGTCTTTTAAAAAACATATATATTTTTAAAAACAAAGTAAGAATCACACTGTATATACTTGCTTCTGTCTCCTAGGAATACACAGTTTTGGATGATTCCAAACAACATGAGATTGCTCACTTTAAACTTGACCCTGGGAAATAGGCTTTGACTCCTTTATGCATTTTTTAGGGCTGGTGAACCCTTATCTCAGACTACAATTCACTTCGACGTATCAACAACCTTAAATGTTCAGCTTGACTTATTCACGGGTTGGACTACTACTTAAAATTATTATGTGTCTAACTTAGTGTGTTGCTACTACAGGTACATGACAGTGTCTGTCAGCTAACACATTTCCTCATTTTTCCCTCTAGTTTTATTTGGATCAGAGTCTACTCGGCTGCCTTTCCACCTAGAAGATCCAATTGGAAAGTGGATGCAGTGGAAGGGGCAGCTGAGGAGACCAGCGTACTATCCTCTGGGGAAAAAGAAGCCGGATACTGGAAGAAAGAATATATTACAAAGCAGATGGCATCCGTGCAGGGGGCACTCGCTCAGGTCCTGAGACCTGTCAACCCCTACACAGGCCTGCCAGTGAAAACCAAAGAGGCCCTCAGGTACACAGCGTGTTCTGGCCTCACAGTGGCCACCGGGGTACTGGACAGCACGGTTAAGTGTTCCCATTCATAACCACTTTAGAAAGGAGTGACCGTAGTGGCTGCAAGCATTTGTATATGTAAGAAGTTGGTACAGTTTAGATTGTAGGCAACCATCTCTGATGTGTTTGTGTGTTTTGTACATCTATAAAGAACACAGCATTTCTTGTTCCATTCCTATGGCCCAAAGTTTTTGTGAAGAACAGAAATAGCCTAGCGATCTCTCTGGTAAAGCAGGAGTACTGGAGGAGTCCTTCCTGGTGGGCAGAGCCTTCATCATGCGTGTCATGTCCTGCCAGTCCCTGGGACTTCACAGGTGTCAGAGAGTGCATGTTAGGAGAGGAGAGAAATCTGAAAACTGCTGCTGAGGTGAACATTATATTGAGCATGTTGACTTCGGCTTCTAAGAAACAAGGTGTTTTAAATATGATATCATGTAAAACTGCCTTTAGCATTTTTTTTGCAATGAAGTATACATTTGTAGCTCTTTTTCTTTTTCCAGAATATCTGGTTTAAGCTGGGCAATTATATTGAAAGAGAAAAGTGGAAAAGAATATATCATGGACCATGTTGATCTTTCCTTAAATGATACATCAGTTACTGTGGTGTGGTATGACAAAAACTGGCCATGTTTAGCCTCGTTGTCAACCTTAGATTTGTGTGGTGTGACACCAGTTTTTATGGACCGGTATAAACTCTCCACCAAAAATGGGTAAGTACTAACTCAGCAGAATTGTTGGGTGAGAACATCTTGTATGTAAATATTAGGTGGCCTTACTTTACTTTTGTAATTCAAAAATACCACCAATAATTTATAATTTAATTACATCTTAAAAACTTTTCTGATGCATTCCTCTCATTTATCGTTATATCTAAATTTATGTTACAACAGTAGAGAATGATAACCTAGTTAACAAAATTTCCTGAGTGGATTGATGGTTAGCCTCTTGAAGTTTTTAGCTTTAACTATCTTAACAGAAATATATATAAAACTATTTTCCCTCTTTTTAAGATTTATTTATTTATTTGAAAGGCAGAGTTTACAGAGAGAGAGAGAGAGAGAGAGAGAATCTTTCATCTTTCATCTGCTGGTTCACTCCCCAGATGACTACAACAGCTGGAGCTGGTCCCATTCAAAGCCAGGATCCAGGAGCTTCATTCGAGTCTCCCACCTGGGTGCAGGGCCCAGGGACTCCGACCATCTTCCGCTACTTTCCCAGGCACATCATCAGGGAGCTGGATCAGAGTGAAGCAGCCAGATCTCAAACCTGCACCCACGTGGAGGCTGGTGTTGCAGGCAGCGACATCACCTGCTGCGCCACAATGCCAGCCCCCGTTATTTCCCCTTCAATCAACAGCACATTAATCATAGTCTAAGTATGAGGTTGTAAAGTCATACTTGTTAGTTATTTGTGTGCCTGTCTCCTGACTTACTGGATACGTAACAATGGAAGTCGCTTCCTCGTTCTGCACCTGAGTGATGATGCGCCGATGTAGCAGTTAGCGTGTGTGGCTGCTGTGAAAAGGATCACAAATCCTATAAAATACTCGTATCACGTTGCTGATGCGTTTTGAGCACTTCTCATTATTCTGTTAAGGGGCTTTGCACTGAGTCCATCCTCATTATGAGGCTTATATCTGCGTTTCCCAGCAAACCCATCACATTCAATTTCTTGGCATCGGTCGTTTTCTGAGTGAGACAGACTGTGGCCTGTGTAGCATCCTCCTCTCCTGAGCAAGCTGACATCCTTAATGTAAAACTGACGGCAAATGCAGAGGTAGTGCCTGCCTTCTCCAGTGCTGGCGTCTTGCCTCTCTCCACCTCCCTCGCAGTCTCAGCGCCCTTTGCTTTTCCCATGGCACTGACCACACCGTTTTGCTTACCTTCTTTGCTTGCTGAATTTCTTCTTTCAGTTCCTTTTCTTATCTGCCGTAGCTGTGACCGGTGTCACAGTAGCTGGTATTGGTGCCTGCCGTCTCTCTGGAGGGACAGCGTTCTTTCAGTTTCTCCGGACGTGGAATTGCTTTCTGCGCCTCTGTAACGGAGAAGCTTGGTTTTGGCTGCTCTCCATGGTGCTGGCTCTTTGTGACTGTCTCAGCGATCACTGAGCTTCCTCTGGGCCCTGAGTGTCCCATTCTTTGGACCTGTTGGTGCTGGTAAATCTAAAAATTCCCCTAGTGCAGTGATGAAAAAATAAATGTAAATTATTATCCCTCATGGTGTTACTGAAAATATTTTGGAAACACAGTTTACTTTTTTAAATAGTATTTTTATTTGGGAAAATCTCTGTAATTTCTTATAGTATCATGATTTACACCAGATTTTTCTAGTGTAAAACTTTGATTTGGGGCTGGTGCTGTGGCGTAGCGGGTAAAGCCAAAACCTGCAGTGCTGGCATCCCATATGGGCGCTGGTTTGAGACCCAGCTGTTCCACTTCCAGTCAAGCTCTCTGCTATGGCCTGGGAAAGCAGTAGAAGATGGCCCAAGTCCTTGGGCCCCTGCACCCATGTGGGAGACCCTGAAGAAGCTCCTGGCTCCTGGCTTCGGATCGGTGCAGCTCAGGCCACTGCAGCCAACTGGGGAGTGAACCAGCAGATGGAAGACCTTTCGCTCTCTGCCTTGCCTTCTCTCTTTTTGTAACTCTGACTTTCAAATAAATAAATAAATCTTAAAAAAAACTTTGATTTTATGTACTGTGAAATTATGTTTGGATAATGAGTCTACACACCTCCACTGGTTTGACTGAACAGGTGTATTAGTGGGAATGTTGTGAAATGTTATTGGAAAGTATTAGGAAAAAATTGTTAACATTATTTAGAAGGATCTTAAAAAAGAACCCTAAATTGATTATATCGAATTGTAAAGCTTACTGAAATATGTGTTCCTGAAAATTGCCATTAGGGTCAGAAATACTAGAAATGACATAGTGACAAATGCTAAAATTCATTGGGAAAGTTCATTTAGTGCAATTTATCTTTAGTAAAACTCAATGGACTTCATCCAGTCTTTGGTAAACTGAGGTAAACCAAACAAAAAGTGTTTTTCAAGAATCTGTTTCAAACAGCGCTCTCTCTCTCTCTCTCTCTCTCTCTCTCTCTCTTTTTGCCATTTTATAAGCCACTGCTTTCATCATGCAGGACGCTAGATCGTTGTGCACGCCTACAGCCAACAAGGGATTTGTGTTTGGGTTTTTCTTGCTTCCTCTATGAGAACTTCTTCAAGCAGAGCGAAAGCCACATTGATGCAGTTTGCAATTTGAGTTTCCCTGTGATTTTTATGCCTTTCTAGTCGACTCTAAATTCACTTTCTTGCCAGCATTTCCCATCTTGCAGTTTGTGCCGCTCCTCCCCAGGCTGATGAGAACTGTTGGGTGAATGTTGGCCTTGGCTTCTGTGTTTGTAAGGCCAAGGCAGGTGAGGGCTGAGTGTGTGTTCACAGTCTGCTTAAAGGCTTCAAGAGGCTGACTTACGAGTGTTGTCCAGCGTTGGGCACCCTGAAGAGTGGGCAGAGAGGATTTGTCCCATCCCCACCCAGCCTCCTTCATCCACATTGTGTGGGATAACAGCAGTGACTACCACTGAGTGAGCACCTGTTGTGTGTCTGTGCTCTCTTTCTACTGTCTCATTCAATCTGCATCCTGCCCTCTGAGGCGGCTGGCGACGTCCTGCAACACAGGAACCCGTCTGTGCGGAGCTGCAGCTGGGGTTTACCTCTGGTGTCGCTAGTCCACACTCAGGTTCCTGCCCTGAGCTCAGGCTCTTCCAGGTGCCTTCTGCCGATGCTGAGCAGCTCTGTGGCTCATACAGAGCACGCATGCTCAGTGCCCACCTCTCCTTACCCAGTTGTCGGCACAGACAATTATCTGCAGAAGTTACATGCAGGACTGGAGTAGTAGGGTAGCTGCACTGGTTTTGATGCCACACAGCCCCCACCCCTGCTTTGAATCAGTGCACTGTTGACCTCCTCTTTAATTACTGCACTTGATGAACTTCTGAATACCTGTTGCCTCTGGCTTGTGTGTTGGGTGCTGGACGTGAACTCTGGAAAACCGTGTGGCCCCCCACTCCTTCAGGACTTTGGTGCAATACTCTGCTGTTGATTGACTGTGAGGTCCCATCTGCTGTGTAATCTCCTGGTCCGCCCCCAGGTCCCCGGGAGGGACAGGGAGAGTAGAGATGCAGATGCTTCCCTCTGGATTGTCTCAAGTCTTAGGAAGAATAGCTGAGTCATTCCTTTTTTACACATCTCAATGTTTACTCTTAGATACTAAGACTAAGAGTTTATAGCATTTTCTTCATGAAAATTGTCATGATTTTTAGCTTAGAGTTATTTTTCAGTATTTCAGTTTTCACCATCTCTGAGTTATCTTGGGTAATGACTGTAAAAAGCTCATCTACTTTCAGACCCCTGAGACCTCCTGCCTTTGTGTCGTGTAAAGCACTGCATCTCTGCTTGCGTGTTCTTTCACTCACTTGGTTAGGGGTACACACTGAGAGTCTGCTTTTGAGTGAAGCATTGTGCTGGGTTTGGGCATCGGAGTGTGGGGAGAAACAGAAGATGGTTTTCCCACTTTTTCAGCTTTCTTCTGGCTAAGCCATTGAGTTGACAGTAAGAGTGAGAGGGAGCAAAGGAAAACACAGTTGGATATAAGACATTGGAATGTCCATTTTGCCTTTTATTTGTATAAGTGTTTTGTGTCCGTACCATACAGACATGCCATTTAGTCTGAACACAGTTGTTCATCTAGAAATGCTCTCCAAAAGCACTTTGAGATGCACTGGTGAGCTAGCTGACAATGCTGCAGATAGAAAAGCTCATTTCTGTCTCCCCTCTCTTTGGCATGGCTGCTCAAAGACCTCGTTGGTATTCTTTAATTGCAAAGTATGACCTCAGTCATTTAACTGAGTGCACGCTGATTGGCTGTGACAGACTCATTCGGATCTTCTGCCTAAACCCTGGCCTCCTGGTGGGGCTGTGGAAGGTAAGACCAAGCCCTGTGTGTGTCTGTCCTGTGTCGTTTCTCCCTCACACCCCCACGTCTGTCTCCATGCGGTGTGACACCACACGTGCAATCCCCAGAGACCGCTCAGTCCCTTTCCATCTCCTGTGCTGCCACCTTTGTGTTTCCGTGTGACCCCCTGTTCCACTGAGCTTGCTCTGCTAGTCCACTGTCAGAGGGGACAAGCACCTCTTCCTGCCTTTCTGTGTGGTCCATGTTATTCCCTGAGTGTTGCGAGACCTTCCTCCTTTCCCCTTCCAATCATTTCATGCTCCTGCTTCTGTCCCTTTCATGTCCTTTCTCTGCCAAAGCCTGTCTTCCTGTGCACTCAACACAGTATCTCCCAGGCACATTGCTAATGCTGAAGGTGCGGCATTGTGTGTAATCCGCCTTCCAGGAGAAAGGATCTAAGAAGTTGCCCTTTCCCTCCATGCAGAGTTTCTCGATTTACCAGGGCAGGCTTCTCTGGGGTTCATTTTCTGGCCAATCACTGCACAGAAGAGCAGAGCAGTTTGATGTCCCTCTGTATACCCAGATTATTTTACATCTGTGGCCTTGGCCTCTGGTTGTTTTAAGAGAATAGTTCACAGACTCGAGGCTGAGAACAGCGGTCTGCATCTCTGTGAGATGACTCTGCAGAATCGAAATCCACCGCTTCATATAGCCTGGTCCTCTTGTACCTTTTTCGTTTCTCAACTTAACCCTGGGAGTCCATTTCTCCCTCCCTCCTTCCATTCTGTGTGAGGGTGACTTGTGAGTAAGGCATCAGTTTGCTTGCCGTGTACTGCATGACTTGAATTCATCAGTCTACGCTGGCCTGCAGTTACCAGGATGCTCTGGTCGATCTTGCCATCTGCCTGGCCACTGGAGAACGTGGGGCTGCCTGCGCCAGGAACTGTCAGCGGTGAATCCAGGGAGACATGGATATCAGCTCCGGAACAGTCCCATTTTCTGCTGTCCAGCCTGATGGATACGTGAAGAAGCTGAATCTGGCTAACTTCTGAATCAAGCAGGCAGTTGAGATAGGAACATGATGCCAGTGATGTTCAGTATTTGGGGAATTAATCTGGTGTCTGTCTTACCAGTGTTGTCTTTATCTTTGAAAAGAGTTCGAAACAGTCGGGAACTAACAATTTGTATTTTTTGTAATCATCTTATATACTATAATATGATATTTCACAAGTACTAGGATGCTAATTATGTGGCACTACATGCTCTGCATTTTTGGGTGAATTGTGGTTATGCTGTCAGTATGACATCTAAGTCATATAATATATAATATGGTACATATAATATATGGTAATATATTAGCAGTAATAATGCATTAACACTGTGGTGGTCCTAATAGTTGTAAGAAACTGCATCTATCTACAAGATGAATGTGCTGTGACCTTCTCAATGACCTTGTGAAAAATTGAAATGCTTCAGCTGAAAAATGTATTCTTTCTAATTAACTTTTCAGAAGGAGGAAGAGCTGGCTTTTGTTATGGCAAATCTTCATTTCCATCACCTTGTGGAGAGGAGCACTTTAGGCTCGGCCACTGTGTATGTATCTGTACAAGGGTGAATTCAGTTTTTGCACAGTCAATGTAGAGGATTAGAAGTTGATGCCATCTTAATATCCTGAGAACAACTACAAGGAAACCCTGTTTTGAATCATTAGACAGAAATTAAAATAATTAGATTGTCCCTGAGTACACATTGGCTTTATTCTGAGTTAAAGAATTTATGCCTGGTAGAATATTATTTATAGGAGCAGGATGGCTTCATTGCTGCAAGGTGCTGCTGCTGTCTCTCAAGTTCCTGCACTTACGTGGACTTGTGAATCTTGCAAGGTGCACAGACTCATGGCTCTACAGCTCCCGCCCATCCTTCCCCTGTGTGCTTAGACTCCTTCTTACTCAGTTTTTGTTTACCTAAAAAGCTCCTTTGTGTAGTAAGGTTTTACTTATTGATAAAAGCAGTGTCCATCTCGGCTTGGGTCTTCTGCCCAGTTTACTAACCACTGGACCTGTTTTGTACATTTGCCTACTGAAGTACTTCTGCCCTCTGGAGACAGAGGAGACACAGAGCAATGTGGAGCTGCAGCCCTAGGGAGGATATCAGAAAGCTGTGGTGGTCTTGTGGATGCCCAAGAGTTCATATCTTTCCCTGTTTTTATAGAAGTTGATAAAAGGGACATGGAGCTGTTGTTTTGAGCTCTTGGTATTGAAAATTATTGAGAAGTATGTAAATGAATGTTAATTTTTGAAAAATTGTTTTCAATCCAGGTATTTTTTCCTCTGGTGTTGATGAATTTTTGTTTTTGTTTTGTTTTGCTTTTCAGTCCTTATGAGTTGCCTCCTCATAGTCCCGTTTTGGATGACAACCCAGAGTATGGACTACATGGCTACCAGCTCCACGTGGACCTGCACAGTGGTGGAGTTTCCTACCTGTGTGGTACATTTCGTAATCTCTTCACCAAGCGAGGTGAAGTCAACTGAATTTTTATTTCATCATCAAATTAAAAGGTTGTAGAGAACAGGGAAACAGTTTTTATATTTGAGTTAAGAATTGTTGTCTTCATTGACTACTTGATAATCTGTCAGCACATCTATCTTCTCAACCCCCATATCATTCTAGGACTTGTGAAATATCTTGATTACACCGAATCTCTAGCTGCTGGCCCTGTCTGCTCTGTCTGCTCTATGTTACCATCTCGATATGGTCTCTACCCATCTTTTCTGCTGATAATTCCTTAGTGTTTTTCTATGTACTTCCCTCCCAACATTCTTCCTCAAAGGAATTTGGCCAGGTTGCCAGGCGGGCCAGTATAGCAGCTGTCCAAGATGAGAATAAAGAGAACCTGGCCTTTCTACTGTCTGCACTGTCTCAGTGTTCATTGAACTGACTGAAGCTGGGACAGAGGCTGGGATGAAAGGACAGGAGGTGTGTAAACCAAGCCAAGAAGAAGGAATGGAGGTGCCCATTCCAGTTTGTCTGACTGTTTCTTCTTGGTTGGTTATTCTGTATCTTGTTATATTGGAGTTTAGGGTAGATTCACTTTAGCCTTTTTAGTAAGGGTATTTTTGTGGGAGAAATTACATACTTCATTTTGTATCATATGAAGAGGTACATACATAATATTAGATTGCCCCATTGTTAGCAATGCCAAGCTTCATTATTTGATTCAGATGGTGACCATGGGATCTCGTAATTTTAAAGATATTCTTTTCTAGATAGACTACTTCTCAAGTCATTTACCTAATGGGCTGGATATCCACTAATATGAACACATAATTATACAGGTTGAGAGTCTAACTCCTGTAAAGGCAGTGTGAATACTTAACTCTTCGCCTTTTAACCACCAAGTTTCAGATTATGAAATTGATACATTAGTTATCTTTGTGGTAGAAATGATTTTGAACTCTCTTTTTTTCCCACCCTTTCTCTCTTTTTAAAGATTTAGTTTTTACTTATTTAAAAATCAGAGTTACAGAGAGAGGTAGAGGCAGAGAGGGAGAGGGAGAGAGGGAGAGAGGAAGAGAAGGAGAGAGAGAGATAGAAAGAGAGAGAGAGAGAGAGGTCTTCCATCCACTGGTTCATTCCACAAATGGCCATAATGGCTAGAGCTGAGCTGATCCAAAGTCAGGAGCCAGGAGCCTCTTCTGGGTCTCCCATGCAGGTGCAGGGGCCCAAGGACTTGGGCCATCTTCTACTGCTTTCCCAGGCCATAGCAGAGAGCTGGATCAGAAGAAGGGCAGCCAGAACTAGAACCAGCGCCCATTTGGTATGCCGGTGCTTCAGGCTGGGGCTTTAACCAACTGTGCCACAGTGCTGGTGCTCCTTTCTTTCTTGCTTTTTAAATGTCACTTTAGACTCTTTTATCTTTTTATTTATTTAGTAATTTATAATGTTACAGAAATTATTTTTTAAAGATTTATTTATTTATTTGAAAGGCATATTTACACAGAGAGAGAAGGAGAGGCAGAGAGAGAGAGAGGTCTTCTAACTGCTAGTTCATTTCCCAAATGGCTGCAATGGCTGGAGTTGAGCCAAGCTAAAGCCAGGAGCCTGGAGCTTCTTCCGGGTCTCCCATGTGGGTGCAGGGGCCCAAGGACTTGGGCCATCCTCTACTGCTTTCCCAGGCCACAGCAGAGAGCTGGCTCAGAAGTGGAGCAGCCAGGACTAGAACTGACGCCCATATGGGATGCCGGCACTGCAGGTGGAGGCTTTACACAATATGCCACAGTACTGGCCCCAGAAATTATTCTTTTTGAAGCTAAATGCTTTCCTAGTTTAGCCAGTGTGGTTTGTTTCAAGCTAGCCTCTCTGCCCTTTGATATCCCTCTCTTAGTGCCTGAGCCTTCTTTACTCTTTGGCTCAGAAAGATTTGTTGTTTTCTGCACCAAATGTTTTTATAAATGTTTGTTGTTGACATGTGCCATCCAAGAATGTGTAATGCTTTTACTTTGTTCAAAAATACTTTTTTGAGTCGTCTTGCTAGTTTTGTGCATTTCTTGTTAAACTATTTAGCATTTAATGCTTGTCACATCTCTTACACTATATCTTCTAGCCATTCTGTAACATCACTGTGTGATTTCGTTCTCACAACACTGCTGATCTCAGAATGAATGGAGAAGTGTTCCTTCCTGGTGAATTTTTTGTGGGATTTTTGCGTAGAATTGGCAGTATTTCTTCCTTAATTATTTGGCAGAATTTTCTCTCTTTGTGAGATGATTTTTAGCAACAATTGCAATTTCTTTGATGGATATAGGAGTATTTAAGTAGGAAATAAAAGACTCTTTTTAGTGGAAATGGTACTCAGAGACCGTATTCTGGATCCCAGGGATGCACGTTGCTCCTGGGTTTTCATTGCTTGAGTGTTTCAAGTAGGCAGAGTTAAGTTGTGGAATTTATAAGGTAAGTAAATAAATCGTGTATTCATTTAAGTTAAAGATCTTATTTTAAAAATTATTTTATTAGCCGGCACCGTGGCTCACTAGGCTAATCCTCCGTCTGTGGTGCTGGCACTCCGGGTTATAGTCCGGGTTGGGGCGCTGGTTCTGTCCCGGCTGCTCCTCTTCCAGTCCAGCTCTCTGCTGTGGCCTGGGAAGGCAGTGGAGGATGGCCCAAGTGCTTGGGCCCTGCACCTGCATGGAGACCAGGAGGAAGCACCTGGCTCCTGGTTTCGGATCGGTGTTGCGCGCTGGCCATGGCAGCCATTTGGGGGGTGAACCAATGGAAGGAAGACCTTTCTCTCTGTCTCTCTCTTTCACTGTCTAACTCTGCCTGTCAAAAAAATTATTTTATTTGCAAGGCAGAGAGAGAGTGAGAGAGTGAGCAAGCTACAGAGGCAGACAGATAGATAGCCAGAGATCCCATCTGCTGTTTCTCTCCCCAGATGTCCATAGTGGCTGGGGCTGGGTCAGGCCAAAGCTAGGCATTGGGAGCTTGGAGCTCAATCCAGGTCTCCCTCCTGGGTGGTAGGAAGTCACCTACTTGAGCTGTCACCTGCTGCTTCCCATGCTGGGCATTAGCAGGAAACTGGAGTTGGGAGCCAGGACAGGAATTGAACCCAGACACTCAGAGGTGGGTATGGGCATTCTTTCCATCATCTTTGCTGCTTTGCCAAACAGGTGGCCTTTCATTGAGCCCAGCTGATTTCTCCACCCAATCTGTACACCTTTGTCCTGTCACCAGGGGCCCAGCAGATGGAAATCCACCTCTTGTGCTCATACTCTGACATGCAAGTGCTTGTGCCTCTGTGCTGTGTTAGCTGAAAACGTAGTCTTTTCCTCTGTGGCTGCAACCCTCATCCTCTGGTGTCCCCTCTCCACTGAGCCTTGAGTTGGGCACCCGCCTGTCCGGGTCTCACCAGGGTGAGAAGCTGGCCTCGGTAATGGGTGAAGGAGACGTGATTCTCTGTGACCAGGTGAGCTGGGTGGAGCAGCTCCTCTGACTGCCCTTCCCCATGAACACTGTGAGCCGTGCATGGGGCTGTGGAGCCCCCCCACCCCGCCCGCCGCCCCTCCGTGGCCTCACCCCTTCCATCTTCTGCCCTGTTCTGGCTCTGAGTCAGCTCTCTGGCCTCTTCCCTGTTGCTTGGTTGTGCCAGGCCTGTTGTGCCCTGGGACCCTTGGCCTGCTCCCCCCGCCTTGCCATGCTGCCTCCCAGATCTCAGCAGGGCCACCTCTCTGCTCCCAGCTCACTGACAGCCTCGGGGAATCTTTCCCTGCCACGCCACACCTGGAGGCTCCTGCTTGCCCCCCACCCCCCACCCCTGCCTCCTGCCTGGCTTGAGTTTTGCACTACACAATTGTGCTTATTTAATTCATTTACATTTAAGAAATTAGGCTCTACAAGGCAGCATGTTTCTCTGTGTTGTTCGAGACTGTCCCTCAGAATGTCAGCCCACATCTGGCACACAGCGGGCGTGCACATGGCTGTCACACCGCGAGTGGTGGAGGGCTGCGTGCCCTCAAAGGTTACATGGTTACACGGTCAGAAGCCCCTGCGATAGCTTGTCCTGGGCCTCTTATCCTATTGCTCTTCCCTGTTCTTCAGCTGAGGCTTTGTCGGCAGCAGTGGCCAGGACCGTGTTGGTAAAGCTGTGGTGGTCCTCTGTTGCCTGGGGAGGAGGCCGCCCAGCCTCAAATGCTGCAGAACAGGGCCACAGGCTGAGAGGCCTTCATGCTGGGCCAGCGCAAGGGCAGGGCCAGCAGCCAAGCCTCTCCATGGTGGAGAGTGAAATCCTGCCCCCACCTGGCCGCTCAGGGCTGCTTGGGGCCTGGTGCGCAGGCAGTTCATTGCTGCTGCTGGCACCCCCTGCTAGCTCGTTTCCTTCTTAGAACGCAGGATCATCTCAGAGATCCCCTTCCCCAGTACTTCCTCGTGTCTGTCTGGAGAGAGGCCTGGCCGATGCCGCTTGTAGTCCTTTGTGTCTGTGTCCCTGTGGCTGGTTACTTGTACACCCATCGGAGTTCTTCAGAATCTGAACACAGCCACTAAGTGTCCAGCTCATCCACTCACACAGCAAGCATCAGCAACTTTTGCTGTTTCTTGTCCAACATTATCTGTAAGATACGGATTTAGGAATTTGTGAAATTCGTTTCAAAGATACTCGCCAGATTGAATTGCTACTTTGAAATAGTTTCATGGTGTACCAAATGCAAAGGACTCTTGCATAGCCATTACACAGAATTCACCAATTTGTAACTCTTTTTGGCTGTATTTGTTGTGTTCGCCTTCTGCGTGTACGTGTTTGTGTCCATATACGTGCGTATGTGGACTCAGCCTTCTGCCTTTCTTTCTCGGGAGGTTAAGTCTGTTAGTGCGGGATCCGTGCTGTGCACAGCCCCTCGGGGTGCAGAGGAGGCAGCTCTGACTCCCTGGTTCAGAACGAATGCAGCGCACTCTGATTGTGTTTCGTAGTGCACCCCTACCCCTAGCGTGGCCCTTCCTGACGGCGAAGAGGATGGTGATGGGGA